CCAGCTGCTCGGCCGGCGCCGAGGTTCGATATGGGGCCGGAGATGCTGGAGACTGGAGAGAGGTGGTGAGCAGTGGCACCGAGGTTCGATTCGGCGGGGCTGGAGATGCTGGAGACTAAATACTGGTGGTGAGCACTGACACCGAGGCTCGGTCACTGTGGTGGGATGCTTGAGCCTGGAGAGTGGTGGTGAGCACTGACACCGAGGCCCCGCCGCTGTGGTGGGATGGTGGAGACCGGAGAGGTGGTGAGCACTGATACCGTGGCTCCGCCGCTGTGGCGGGATGCTGGAGACTGGAGAGTGGTGGTGAGCACTGACACCGGGGCTCCACCGCTGTGATGGGATGGTGGAGACCGAAGAGTGGTGGTGAGCACTGGTACCGAGGCTCGGTCGATGTGGCGGGACGCTGGAGAGCAGTGCAGGGCACCGTGGCCGCCGCCCCGTCGTTGACATCCAGCAAGTGAAGAGTGGTGCTGAACACTGGTGGAGCGGGGAAGCCGGCCCTCAGTCACCGCGGCTCGAAGAGCGGGAAGGAGGCGACCGTGCGTACTTAATGTGGATCTGTCGCCTTGCCAACAGACCTATTCGTATTGTCAGCACCTGCTTCCTGGGAGCCGCATTTGCATCGTGACTTTCAACTAGCGTTGATCCTTATCATTGGTCACGGGAACAACACACTGGTTGGGCGAAATACATAAATGGATGAGGCAGAGTGCTCCCTTCAGCGATATCTGCACGTTAAAGGTGCCGAGATGAGCTCATTGCATGTGTCGCCCGTGATCTCAACGACATCCCTGATCGCCGTCAGGCACTTGACATCAAGTGGACAGAAGCTCAGAATGTTCAGGGGCTGTTAGCTGCCTCACTCCCAGCGTTGTGATCTGTTGCGATGTGATAGTGATCCGGAGGGTATTTACCCCTCTGCGGTATCTTAAGCCCGGCAGGTCCTTGCAGGAATGGGATAGTGGGATGGGATACAGATGGGATAAGTACATGGATTTAGATGATGAATGATGAATGACACGGGTAAGAGTTGGATTGGTTTTGATAAATGACAAACAAGTGGCTTGAAACGGACTGAAGATCTCAATGTCGATTTAAGGACATGTTAAAGGTGGCTTGAACTTTAACACATTGACACGATTGTGGCAGGATGTATCCTAATTGTGAGGAGCGTTACCAGATCAGATTTGCATTTTGTGAGTGCGTAGATCAGTGTGTGGATTGTAAAATTCCAAATTGTCTACAATTGGATTGAATAGAACCGAATTCTAAGAATCCCATAGATGAAGAACTCTGTCTGTGAATGGTGAAATGAAATGAAATGGTGAAATGAAATGAAATGGTAAAATAAAATGGTGAATGGTCGCAAGTAAAACAGGTAGCTTATGATGTGCCTATTGAAGCATCAGACGCTCACCTTTGAACTGAACGTGTTTTATTCTGGTGAAGCGAGCCCTTTTGTGGCGACGTATTATTCGTGCTGTGTCATGGCGTGTAATTATTGACAAGAACCGCTTGTCCTAGCGCTTTTTAAGATTTGTATTATTTCACACTCTATGGCATCGAAATATTTTCCTAGTTGGTTGCTAGCTAGCACACGATTAAGAAATGCCGTTTCATCTCGACTTCTCAGTCTCTGCCGTGCGGATCTTTTCACCAATCAGAAGCCGATCTGGCGACAGCAGGCGCGCCCGTCGGATGCGATCGGCCGTCGCGTCCGCCTGGCTCGGACAGACCCGGAGCCCGCCCACGGCGCCGGTGACATCCGCTCACGGAAGCACACCAGTGCGTCCACGCGTCTTCCGCTCTTTCTCTGCGGCTGCACCTCAGCTGGGGTGGATTTCCCACGCAGCAGCCGCACGTTAAGACACGGCGTGGAGCCTGCGTGCAGCGGCGCGGTGCACGTATGTCACACCGCAGGTGCCACACAGCTGACGGTGCCCCCCCCCCCCCCCTTCAGTCGTGTTCAGCCGCTGCCCTCTCGTTCCGACTGCGCGTCCCGGGCGAGCGCGGCGACCCGTCCAGACGCCAACGGCGTCGTAAATCACAGCGCTTCCGCGCGACGCCGCCGCGCGTCCGGAGACGGCTCGTCTCGGCGCGCTGTGCCGCTGCCGTGGACGGCTCGTCCCGGCGTCCTGTGCCGCTGGCATGGATGGCTCGTCCCGGCGCGCTGTGCCGCTGCCGTGGACGGCTCGTCCCGGCGTCCTGTGCCGCTGCCGTGGACGGCTCGTCCCGGCGCGCTGTGCCGCTGCCGTGGACGGCTCGTCCCGGCGCGAGGCAGGCCACGCCGGCGTCAGCAGCGTCTCCGCCAGCCTGCGGTGACGCCGCAGCCGCAGCCGCAGCGTTCGGGTCTGCTCTTCTGCCCTTGCCAGAGGCGGCGGATCGGCCGCGGCCGCCGCCGCAGGCGGGCCGGCCGGCTGCCGTGGCGCAGTGGCCGTCCGTGTGGACGGGTTACCGAGGCGGACGGCCTCAGCTGGGCCTGATCGGCGGCTGATGTACGGCCACCTGCGGCTGCCGCGTCTAGCAAGCAGCTGTTGATGAACGATCGCGAGGGAACAACCCTCCAAAAGCCGTACGTCCAAACCTTTCTCTTGGTCCAGAATGCAAGGGAATAAGCATTAAAGATCTTTTTAAATCCAGAAATGTGCTAAGCGCTTGACCAAACCTATTCGCAGTATGCAGCACCCATTTTATGTGGAGGTCCAAGCTATCAAAAATCAAAGATGTGATGTGGGATTCGCCATTATTAAAAGGGATTGCTGCACATTTGTACGGGGTTTTGGACTGAAAAGCTTCCTTGGAGATCACTCGCTGCAGGTCACAGACCTGCCCTTCTTAAGACTTAAGGCCTTCTGGTTTCTGAGCTACACGCCTGCGAAGATTGCACAAACTATTTCAGGAAGACTGTTAATATAATTATGATGACACGGTTGTTATATTGTATCAAATATGTATATATATATATATAGTATAATATATACAATCTATATATATATATATATATATGTATATATCAGTAGTTATAAGTGAGCTTATTTCATCATCGTTGATGATTGCTATATCTTAAGATGCGGCACATTTCTTTCGGTACATTTTTGCTAGAGTTTTATCAGAAGAACGACCAACGTATTTGGCTGACGCGCAACCGACGTAAGGGCCTGGAACACTAATGACCTTATGGCTATTTTTACGGATGACGGAATATTCTTTGTGCGGTAGAGGTTTTTTTGCTCACTGCAAGACGTTAGAGATACACCATAAGTGCATGGTGTTGTAAGACTATGTGCACGTTATAAGGTGATGTCTTCCTGCTTTATTATTACTAAAATGGCAGTATACAACCTTCCGCCGTTTGAAAAAATTGTTACACTGTTCCTTTGGGTCTTCCAAACGTATAATCCGTTTTGTCTGTTTTTTCTTTAATTCCGCACCTGACGCTTGCAGGCTGCCGGCTGGCCGGGCTGGTAGACGGCTCGTTAGTCAGAGGTGCTGGGACGCGCCTGTGGCGTGATATGTGGACCCCGAGCCGCTTCAGAGCGGCGGCCGGCCGCGGCCAGGCCGGCACCAGGCCCGGCACTATATTAAAATACAGACGGCCGCACGTGTTGCCGTTGGGGGCCTGCCAGACCGTCTATTATAGTCGGGTCGGTCGCACTCGCACCGTCCAGTGCAGGTGTCCAGCGGAGGTCTGGGGATAAGTCGTGCAGGCGTGTTGAAATTGGAACTGCCATCAGCCAGGCCTGGTTTTATGAAGCAGTCATAAACTTGAAACGGGCTTTCAATGGCTAAACAGTTTTCTGTCAGTGGAGCCGTTATTGGTTCCTTTGAAAAGTCTCTGCAAGGGGCTGCATAGGAAAAAACAACCTCACATGACTTTGGCGTCGTGACTAGGGTAGAGTCGCAAGCGTCTTCCCTACTTCCGCTTCTTCCGGGTGTCTTATCCATCGGGACGGATCATCAGATTTGCGTCCCCGTCCCGCGCCATTCGTCGCCTAGTGCTAATACAAACACGCTTCTCCAACGTCTCTGAATTTTACAGCGACCTCTTCAAGGTCCCGGCTAAATGAAGGCAGCTCTCGAATGTTTACTGAAGTGTGGACTCACTCTGGAATCACGAGCACGGCTTGGTTCAGTTATGTCTGATCCGTGTTTATTTGCTGTGCGGGGTTTATGTGATAAGGTTTTCGATCGACGACGGATGCATGTCCTCGAGCCGGGGCGGGAGAGCTCTCACTCGGGGTTTTCCCATGCCGGAGCGATACCTTCTAAACAATCCAAAGAAAAAAAGAGATCGATGGGAAGCTGTGGTGGAGAGCCGCCGCAGTGGGTCCGGCGGTGTTTGAACTCATTTAAATTGAAGCAGGGAACAGGCAAATAATAGAAGTGAAACGAAAGACATCCACACCATCAGTAATGCATACTAAACACGTGCATAAAGATATATGGCTATGAGCAGTCACCCACATCTAAAATCAGCAACCTTCTACAGATTGTATCAACATTTGGGTATATCCTTACTCATCATGTGCATGTATGGACTCATTCAGCTGATTACGAACAGAGCAGTGTTCCACTCGCGGGTAGTCATTATGTTACACATCACTCAGTCCGGGGCCGCTCGCATGTGAAAGTGACAAATACGTAAGTGAGGCAAGTCGCAAGTAAGTGAAATAATTGCATATGCCAGAATTGATTTCAAAGCTAAATGGATGTGATCGCATTATAGCCAAGACTCACCAGAATACCATTTTTGAAAAATAAGAGAAGCCAGGAATGCCAACCAGGTCATTCACCCGCGTATTCCATTGCCACGATCTTTCCGTCTGCTTTTCACATGTGGTCCTTCTATTTTCCGCTCCGATTCTCAGTCTTTGTGCCCTTTTCTGTGTAGTTTGTCTATGTCTTACACGTGCAATGTCAGTCTGTGTTCACCTACGTGTGCTCCATCTGCTGTGCTCGCCTGTTTCCGTGCTGACCTGTGCTCCGTTGCTTGGCAGGGGGCGCGTCGCAGCTGGCTGAGGACGAGCAGCTGGTGTACCCGGAGGAGCAGGCTCTCTACCCTCTGGACGTACAGATCACCTCCAGCTCACAGCAGCTGACAGTCCAGGAGGGTGACAACGTCCGGCTGCCCTGCCAGTGGGAGGGCACAGGTGGGTCAGCGGGGCACAAGTGGGTAAGCGGCTATTCCTGCCAGTGGGAGGGCACAGGTGGGTCAACGACTGCCCGCTTTCTAACAGAAAAAGGGAACACGCCGATAGGCGCATCTAAAAGATATGTCTTCGAAGTCGACGAGAGGTTCGCAATACAAATACGAGCGGTTTGCAATGCTCTGAAATGTATTTGGGGCTCTGTATAAGAGCATTTTGCAAGGCTGCTGCGTGATAAGAATGAATTGTAAAGAAATTGCGAGGCTTATCCATGTAATTGAACGGTTTTTTTCAAGATAATATCTATCTAGGTTAGTGCAGGTGCCTGCTCTTCATAAGACGCAATTGGTTGTACCTACCGATGCTACTCTAAATGAAGGACGTAGCTAGAAGGTGCATGATCGGAGCCTGAATGACAAAAGAGCAACAGAAGTAGTGATTAAGGGGGGTTCTAATGTATTACATAAAGTACGGTTTGCATCTTTAAATTATTTAACATATAGATAATGGGACGTTTCCCTCCCACAGTGTAAATAATGCACACATAGCTGGTGCTGGCTGGTCTTAAGGCCGCATAATTACCTGCAACTGCCGATATTGCTCAATACGTTTTAAGGTAGCTTCACTAGCATTATAGCAATGTTTAATACAAAGATAATGAACGTCTTTGAAGACATAATGCATGATCTTTGTTATAGGGTGGTCCGAGTCCTTGTACACGATACCCGACAGACAGCATGCGTACCTCGTTTCAGTTTCTGACGTCGTCGTACTATGGAAGAAGCTGCCAAGCATGATACTGTTCACGGACGTGATCAAGATGTCCGTGGACAATCGAATAAAGCTGGGCAACAACAACGAGCTCCTGATCGAAGGTGTCAAAGCTGAGGATAACGGCACGTACGTGTGCGCGTTGACGCTGTACCCGGACCCGCTGGAGCTGCATCACACCGTCACCGTGCAGAGTAAGTCACGTGGTGCAGCTCGGATGTGGTCGGCGGCTCCTTACCTACCGATATTCCGGCCCCTCTGTGAAGCGACAGCGCCGATAAATATTTTTGTATGTCCCCTCCTACGTTCTCAGTTTGCATACCTGGCTATATTCATCGCTCGTCTCCAGATGACCCCGGTAGCGAGGCTGGGCGGGCGCCTGTCGCTGGGCTGTCCCTGTGACCAGGCTGTGATGCGGACGAAGCGGGTCTCGTTTCAATGAGCTGCTGTAATGCCGCTAACGTGCCGCGTGACAGTTTTGTCACGGGCCAAGCAAAGTAATCGTCTCCGAATCATCAGCTTATCATCATCTTGTCATCCGGGCTCGTTGTGTGCCCGCGCGTGCAAAGCGATTTGCAGCTGGAGGTGGACCGTCTGGCCGTTCAATTTCTTCGGCCTGTCAAGCTTATGCAATCTGCCTCTTTGTGCAACTGATGCATGCTGTCGGGCTCAAAGGACAAGGAAAGGAACCATACAGTGATGCGGCAATGTTTGAAATAGTGCATAGTTCCGTGCTAGTTGAATTTTTCAAATTTGATAGGCCATCCCACTTGTCAGCATTCATACTATTTCAAGTATGTATGAATGCTGTTGGTTGATATTGCCTTTTCGGGTGGCGTTGCGTGAGACCTGACGACCGAAGTGTTGCATGCGTCTCTTTGTCCAGCCAACGCCTTTATCCTTGCTGCACCGTGCTGAATACTCCGCAGGCTATTAAATGTGCCATGCTCCGCAGGACCGGCCAAGCTGCACCCGATGGACAGGGACCACTTCCAGGTGCCGGAGGGGGACAGCTTCGAGCTGGTGTGCCAGGCGGATGGCGTACCGCGTCCCACCGTCTCTTGGTCCAAACTGGTGAGTGGTGTCAGTCCCTCGTCCCCCGGTCCGAACTGTGAGTGGTGTCAGTCCCTCGTCCCCCGGTCCAAACTGGTGAGTGGCGTCAGTCCCTCGTCCCCCGGTCCAAACTGGTGAGTGGCGTCAGTCCCTCGTCCCCCGGTCCAAACTGGTGAGTGGCGTCAGTCCCTCGTCTCCTGGTCCGAACTGATGAGTGGCGTCAGTCCCCCGTCTCCCGGTCCAAACTGGTGAGTGCTGCCTGTCCCCCGTTTCCTGGTCCAAATTGGTGACTGACGTCATTCCCCGTTCCTGGTCCAAACTGGAGAGTGCTGTGTGTCCCCATCTCCCGTTTTTATCGTTCCAAACCAGATGTCCTCTCCTGCTTCTCTTCCAGATAAATGAACCTTAGCTATCCCCTAGTCCCGACTGACGGCCGCAGGTAGAGCTGGCTTATCACGACGGCTTCTGCCGATGCACGCACCGTCAGGCTCAAAGACGCGGATCAAAGCATCCTAACACCATCGCGTGGTCCACACCAATCCGGCCCGCACCAGTTCCTAGGTAGCACTGACTCACCGACAGACCGCCTGTCCCGGGGTGGCCTGCGGCCCCGGCTGGTCTGCCTCGGGCCAGCCCCGCAACGGGCCATCTCGGTAGGTGTCTGGTGCAGGATGACTCGTTCAGACGGACCCCAATGGTCCGCGCCCAGCATGTGTCCTTTCTGCACCCGGCTACCGGGACCGGGAGGGCCGCCCGATACCTGCCCCATGCCTGATCACTACAGCACCCGCACGTGTTACGTGCCAGGGAGTCCCGAAGTTAGCCAAGCATACTCACGCACGTGGAATGAGTTCGCGTGCTCCTATGTACATATATTTATGACGCTGTGCACATGGTGTAGACGCTTCAGTGACATGATTTGGCTGCGATGCAACGGCTACTGGAACAGTCGTTTTCCACGTAGTGGGTAGCTCCGGGGACTTCACAGCCAACCCCCGTGCCCTGTATGGACCCGTGTCTGGAATGTCTCGTGCGTGCAGCTGCCGCCGGGGTGACGTCAGCTGTGCTCTTGCACATATGCTGAGCCGCGGGGCTCGCAGTCCTCCGTGCGCTGGCATCCGATAGGTGCTATGTCGTGCTTCCTCCTGGCACGCGGCACTCACGAGACTGTCGGACGCGCTGGCTCGCTCCGCCGGACGGGCGGAGCGGTCAGCGCTGTCCCGTCCGGCTCGTGTTCCCCACACGACTGCCGCCGGCCGGCCAGTGACGGGGGCTCGGCGGCCGTCTGCCGGCGTCACCGCCCATCGCTCGTCCTCGCGCGCCGCTGGGCCGACTAGCGGGTCTCTGTTGCATGTGCACATCGCTCACGGGATGCTCGTACTACCTCGGCCCCCACAGTGGAACTAACTCCCAGCTGGGTCGCGACGTGCCAGACTCTGCACCACAGGGGTCACTTTATATACCTTTGGGGGGCTGAACCCCATTCCCCAATGCTCATTTGAGCTCCCTCAATGCCCCTCTGAGCCCCCCTCTCCCTCCCTGATGCAAATGAGCAAAACAAAAAATATTGGGTCAAAGAAATGCAGATTTCTGGCTGTCCTGCAAGTGATTGTTTCTCTAGGCATCTAGACACGTTACCTAATATCGTGTTGCATACGCACCAGAAGAGTAGCCGGTAGGTACACATGTCACGTTTTTGTCATGCCCGATATCTCGAACGTCACGCCAGTCCTGCAAGCATTAGCAGGTTCCTCACAAGATAAGACGGATGGATCAACAAAACATAGGCTGCGATATGTGTAGTACAGTACAGGGGTTCAGGTAAAAGTTTAAACGTCAAATCGGACCAACAAAAGATGGTCCAGATGGCCCCCGGCGTTCCAGGAAGCTTAACAGCATAAAGCAAATGCTTCACATTTGACGAAATGGAGGGAAGCATCACCTTTAATAGAAAAGGCTCATTTGTGACCCTGAACTATGCTTTACGTGAAAGGACCTCTCTAGATAACAAAAATTTCGTTACGTAATAAATAAGTTCCTCAATGCACGATCGTTTGATTACGTCATGAAACCTTCTTTTGATGGCTGAGTCCCTGCCAGACTTGCCATGTCAGAATTGCTTCTGTGGTGGACGGGCTGACACACTTGTAGTACTTCAGCGCGTTGCAAGGTGGCTTGTTTATTTAAGCGCTGATAGTAAACCCGACTTTTGTCACGCGCGCGTGTTTTGGGCCTTTGTCATGGTGTTCTCATTTATTTGTCCGTGATTTATACCTTTTGCTTGTATTCTTATTCTCGGTTACGGCGCTATTCTTAAGTCATTCGATTCCCAGCTGCATGTCCGTTAGAACTCAAAGGAGTGTCCAATAGCCTATATCACGCATCACAAAACGGGTTTGTTATCGAGACCTGCATTCACCGGCTCAAGCTGATTGAAATCGAACTGCTTTCTGTTAATAAGGTGATTCGTGCTGACGCACTCCAGACAAGGATAAGTAAATGGTGACATTGTTATGTAATTGAACAGTATGGCTATTGAGGACGTCTGAGGGATTTTGAAATAGGCGGCGAGAAATGGTTTGGACAAGTTTGCGTGCTTTTAGGTCAGGAATGAGATAAATTTTAGTTTTGAAGAGCGCATAACTTAGAATTGCATGGGATTATCTTGAACCTGCCTTAGTTAAAACCGTTTACAAGCACGATGCTGTTCACGGGCAGTATCATGATCAGATCGGACAGATCAGACATATCTTGCTGAGAGTGACACGTCCCATCCTAAGTCTGAAGAGCCTAAGCGCTCTGAGGTGGTGTTGACAGGATCCTCGTTATCGTCCTCAAACAAGCCTCTTCTGTGGGGTTTCGATTCGACAATTCTGGGATCATGCCTTGCGCTAAGCAGCGCTGGTTCGTGACCGCCATTCGATCGTGAAATTGCCGGTCAGCGGCAGAATATTGCGGCTGATGCTAACGTGCCGCAAGTCTCGGCATGGTCCACATGCCCTCCGGCGTTACCTGTCCGTTAGCGCAGCCACTGCCATTGACCACAGGCCTTCCCAGTCAGCGACAAATATCGATCAAATATAAAGTTTTTTTGTTTTGACACTGGGGAGGCTAGCCAAAATAACCGAAATCCAAAGATAAGTCGAGTTTTGGAGTCAGGATAGCTCCGCGTCATCGGCTCAGTTCCTCCCCTGTCCCCACCCAACCACACACGGACTTAAGAAAGTGGCATCCCTGCTCTGCACTTCACATTTTACTCCTGCAGAGGGTCGACCTCGGTGCCAAGGCAGGGGCGGCCGCCAGCCAAGATCCGAGCAAATATTTATTCCTTGAGCGAAATCGCCACGTTTGGTGGCTTTAAAGCCACCGTGCAAGGTCTGTCAATGTTTCTAATGCATCAATGCTGCACATAGAAAGAGTGCTCGCTTATCCAGCCCCACTAGGTCACAACTGATGCACAAAATGGTGAATGCACAAGGTGATTTGCTCCTGCAAAGCACAAATCCATTTTTGCAAATGTTGCTTTATGATCGGATGTGTTGGTAGCCGTCCGGCCTTGGCCTCTGTTAACTACAAAAGTTACTCTGGGTTGCCTTTCTCGCGAGTGACAAAGCGTGCCGGTCATCGGTGAGAAGCATCTCACGCTAATTGCAGCAGAAAACTAAAGCGTAGTCATTACATCGTTCTATAAGCCACGGCCCTTCGGCCGCTAGAGATGCATCTATTTGGGCGCCATGATGACCAATGGCCGTGGTAATGATCTAGCTAGTCTGGTCCCCGCACCGGAAGCCGCGGCTAAACATCCACCGCCTGGTTATCAGGTGGCGCGTCGCCGGCGCGCCACGTCTGCCGCGGCCGCTGACGCGACGGCCACCGGGCCCCCGACAGTCCCGCGGCCGGCCGGCGTCGTCACGCACAGTCTGGCACGCGCCCTGGCACACTCACTAATTGCCGACCGACCGCGACTACGTCCGTTGGCTGCCCGCTTTACGTGTGTTTTGGCTTTATTTCAGCGTGTTGAGGATACCGAAGGACCCTATTTTGACAACGGAGATTTTCTAGCGACAACTAGTTTACCAGAGGTATGCTTGCTTTATTAACTGTTGTCGTTGGTAAACGGCCGGCGAATTTTCCTTTTGCCAGCTGGGGAGCTAGTCGTGCTTGTGGCGTCAGCTGACTCACCGTGCGGTGAGACGGCATGAAAGTCGTGATGTAGCCTCACAATATCTCTGTCGTGCTGCAGAACCATTTTCCGCTTTAGAAACCGTTAGTATTTGGCAAGTTTCATGTTTACGCTCGCTTTCTATTTCCCCCGTATCAGCGAGTACATCGGACTCTTGCTTTCGTCGGGGTACATTTTTTCTCTCAGTTCAACGGACGGGCATTGTTGGCGTAGGAAAAGTTAACGGAATGACCCGGCAAATATTCTAGACGAGGATCGCGTGCAATTTTGACACGGATGGTTGATATGACCTGACCTGACCTGACCTGGTTCGTCCGGCAGGGCGACGACCTGGTGTTTTTGCAGGAGGACTCGTCCCGCGGCGTGGCGTTCACCATTGACAGAGTGGAGCCACACGACACGGGCACGTACACGTGCACGGCTCAGAACGGGATTGGTCCGCCGGACGTGCTCACCACGCGGCTCGAGGTGGTCCGTAAGTGCCCCCCCCCCCCCCCCCCCTCCCTCTCCCTCTCTCTCTCTCTCTTTTTCTCGCCGTGTGCAACGGGCATGTCATTCCGGCTGTTGCATTGTTCGTTGAACTTTGCAGGGTGACCCCAAACTGCACGTTGCTGAGCGCATTTGCGTGTCCTTTCGTTCTGCAAACTAAGGACACGTTTCGGCCGTCGTTGCTTGTGGGGCGATTCTGGTCGAACTGAGGGCTATCTATACCCGTGCGACGTGCCTGCTGCGACTTCAGCACCCCCTGCCTTCCCTGCCTTACTCCCCTAGCTCACCAACGTGCGCGCCTCAAAGCCGCCCCCATCCGGCCCTGTGTGCCTGGGCGTCGAGGTCCCTGTCCTGCCCTGTGTGCCTAGGCGTCGAGGTCTCTGTCCTGCCCTGCATGCCTAGGCGTCGAGGTCCCTGTCCTGCCCTGCGTGCCTAGGCGTCGAGGTCCCCGTCCTGCCCTGTGTGCCGAGGTGTCGAGATTCGAGCAGAACGATTGCATCGGCACTATCAGTGCCCCCCTCCCCCGCCATGCCCCCAATGCCTCTGTCGTGTGTCGGAACGTTGCCGGCCCCGATCGAGAGAATTCGGTATTCGGCCGACGTTTGGGGCTCGTTGCTGCGCATCGCCGAGCGCCGCCACCGGCCTGGCGGTCCTGTCAAGCGGACAGAACGGAGCCGGGCCGGGTCACTGCCCCGTGGCCCAGGGCGACGGTCGGCCGCGGCCCCGGCCGGCTGGCACCTAGCCAGGGGACAGATGGTGGACGTCGACCGCTGGCGAAGGCATTTCACGTCACTGTCACGTCCACGTGGTGTCGGCGCTCCGCGCTGGCCCGGGCTCGCGCTCATAGCCGAGACACGCGCCCAGGGCTCATCCTGACGACCGGCTGTCGCTGATTAAACACACGTGCTGCTGTTTGCTCAGCGTCACACAAAACCTCGCACGGGTGCAGTCATTCCATGGCTCGTTTAAGATTGTTTGCATTTTTGCTGCTCTTCCGCAACGCATTGGGCCCTGACACCGTTGGCACGTGCTGAGTCTGCAGGCATCGATCAGTTAATGTCATTGTCGGCAAAGTGGCACGGCTCCTTTCCCGCTATGTTGTCTCGCCAGAACTAAAGATATCGTCTCTCTCAGACCAATGCTGCCGCCTGCACCGTATCAAAATAGCTGGTATCGTTAGTCCCAGGGCCAGTGGAAGTCGGGGTCATCGGTCACTGTCGGTCATTTGTTTTAAGTCTGCCCGCAAATCCTTAATGGCCAAAGTTTAGCCGGCTCCCGCACCCCTGTCCGGCCGCGTACAACCCAGCAGGCGCCCAGTGCCCAGCTCGCTGCGCCCATGACCGTAGCCGAAGCAGCCCGCCCGGCCTGCCCAGTCGGCGGCCGGCTCAGCGTCTCGTCCGGGCTAGTGTCGGCCGGCCGGCAGGTCAGGCCCGCCCAGGGCGGTCGCGGAGGGGGGTCCCGCCGGCTGGGACGGATCACGCACCGTGCAGCGGCCCCGCCGACGCAGCTGAGGACGGCTGCCCTGGCTGAGGTGATGGGTCCAGCTGAGCAGCTGAGAGCAGGCGGATGCGCTCGTGACGGATGGGCCGACAGGCAGCTGTTCTGCGCCGTCCTCACCGTTACGGGGCTGCGACTCGGGGTGATTGGTCAGCGTTGGATAAATATGAGGATAGCTGCGGCTCCGAGACGAGGCCAGAACGTCGCACGAAAGTAGGAGCGTACGTTTCGCCTATTCGGTCACATTAGCTGGTAAGTCGTGCAGCATGGGGTCGCGTAAACACCAATCAGCAAGCAAAACACCCGGTCGTGCAGCTGAAGTTTCTAGCCATTGCGAAGTTCAGTGGCATGACTGTCTTTTCACTGGCCCGTCTTTGGTGGGCCCCGCAAGAGAGCGGCTCGCATGATGACACCACTCCCGGATCCTGTCCAGCGCCCGCCTATGGGTGTCCTTCGTGCAGCGCCGGCCCGGGGGCCTGATGACGAGGTTCAGCTGACACCACCGCCGGAGCTGCCTCCCTCTCTCACGGCCTGACCCGGTCGGTCGGCCGACGTCGCGCCCCCATCCGGCGAGACCACTCCCGGAAACAGCCTCCCTCCCACGTCGTCTTGCACCCATGCCCGGTTGGCCAACACGGCACCCCCATCCGGTTGATGTCACACCGGGGTCCTCCGCCCCCGGTGTGACATCAGGCGGCGTCGATCCCACGGGACAGGTCACCCCGCGCCACTTCCGGCGGAGCCGCCAGCCGTCACGGCGCCGGCCGGCCCGGCGCGACCCCCGCCCCCCCCCCCCCTAACCGCGCTGCGGGGGCGGGAGACCGCTTCCGGATCCTGCCGCAAGACTCAGGCACCGCATCCTGAAAAGCACGGAAAATGATGCGAACAGCGCGCTAAGGTCATTGTTTTTACTCAGGCATGTTAACATAGATGGTAAATTTAACCGTGGCAGCGTTTTTGCTTTTTCATTGTGTGCACTTGGTCATTTTACATTTCTGTGGTTTGTGCCGTAAAATCGAATAAAAAAGCAACGCAAACGTGAAATGACAAATAGAAACAAACGACAAAGTTAACACGCATATGGAGGGATCAGTTACGGCTATTATAACTATGACGACAAACCATGATCCTGCTTTTGTTTATCCGGTTTGCGAGTATCGCATGTTTGGAGTCAAATTTATAGTAATGCTAACGTGAAATGACCTACAGTATGGTAGTTTGGATGAGATCCCTTTCTGTCAGTCATGTCCATTTGTGTCACTGAGGAACACACTCAGCTGCTGAGGCCACATGACATCACCTCAGACGTCAGCGTCTGTTTCCGCAGACCCACAGCGCTATCGGCATCTAGTCATGACCATTTCAGGGCTGTGGGATGACGAGGGATGTTAGCAAAGGAGACGAAGAACTACGCGCACCTAGTTAGTCATCCACCGAACGTAAGCCAACACAGGGTGCCCTATGCGGTGTACGTGCTGGGCACTTAGATGGGGCCTGCGCCAGGGGACATTTAAAGGGAGGTAAACCACCATTCTTCGTATTTTTCATTTATTGTTAGATCTGACACGTCCGACTTGTCAGCAATGCCAGCTTTCAGAATCCGCTGCGAGCCACGATCATTAAAGCTCCACAACCGTGGTGAAGATCTGCAAAATAGGTCAGGGGATGGGAGTGAGAAATAGCTTCAAAACCTACCTCAGAATGAGCAAAAAAACAGGCTTCATCCTCGCTTTGACCCTCTTTCCCTTAACTTCGGGGCTGAGGTCCTGTTCAACTGAAAAAGAAAGCAAACCCCTGCTACACCCGTCTCCTCGCTCTATCTCGGCGGATAACTGCTGCCGTTGAACATCATTTTTATTTTTATTTGGGGGGGGCGTCAATTGTCAAAGCTAGCTTTCGCTTACCGACATATGGTCGATATTATGTGGCTATAGATCTTGTTGGACCCTGTACAGCTTCGGGAACAAATAATTCCAGTTGATGTAAACAACTGTGGGATGCTGCCACAGAAGCCCCTGCGGCCGGGGGCTGCAGTACGGGCTGCAGGCTGGAAGGCAGCACCCGCCTCGCGCGTGCTTCAACACGGCTTGTGTTGCTTCTATGGTGGTCGTTGTCGGATGACGACCGTTATTAGTGTCGTTGGTTGGAGTCGGTGGTCAGGTTTTCATAACTGTTTTATTAAATGTTTACGTCGAAGTAGAGATCGGCGCATTTCAATGGCTTTTCCCAGATGTAGACGACTAGAAGGCTCGTCACGTTTTGGGGGTGGTAATATGTGACCGATTTGTTTTCATTCGCAGTAAGTGTACCGATTAGATATGGTGGCAGAAAAACGAAACTTATTACACGCTGTAAAACTTTAACCACCGCTGGACCTTTAAAACGACATACAAAAAACTAGACCAGAGTCAACAAGACTTTTAATTCAAAACATCCAGGCAAGTAGTGAATAAAGAATATACACAAGTGAATATGATACGAGCTCGGAGATTTACATCGGCTAAGTAGCACGATTTAGCTAGGCATGACATGTTTACATATTTGTTCTTTATATTGAGAAGCAATTTTCTAGAAACTGTCTTCAAAATTCATCTAATTTTGACCCTTAATGTTCTGGCTCGTACTTATGCTCCAGAAGGTGGGGGGGGGGGGGGCAAACCCCACCGTTTGGTGAGGGGGGAGCAACTCAGATATCGGGGGGTGGAGGTAGTGAATCACTCGATGGGATGCGGATCGACATCCATGGATCTGCCCTTGTATGTGTTGACGATCTGACGGTAAATCCACCGGAAAATCTCCTATATCAGGGCGAGCGACAAATCTCTGACCATTCCGTAAGGCTGATAATAAATGACGATGACAGTTTGGGACTTCGGGCGCCAGAATTTACGATTTACACTGATGATGCTCCAGCCGCATCAGCGAAAACGCAACGAACTGAGGTTCCGAGGTCGTGGGAGAACTTTCCAGGTGGTCACGATCCGGCGGCGCCTCGGCGCCCCTGGGACCCCGCCGGCGGCGCGGGATCCCGGTCGGCTCCTCTGCCCGGCCGGCCGGACTCCTCGCTGTCGCTGTCTGTAACACAGCCGAGCGCGCTGACGCTGCGGATCAGCCTCCAGCTGTCAGTTGTACTCTGCTGCTGTTCACTGGAACATATATCAGCACACCAGCGCTGGCGCCCGTCTTTGTGATTTGTCAAAAAGAAGCACGTTGTATTCGCAGCTCAACGTTACCCGCGTCAGGGAGACACAACTTGGCGTAGTTTCTTATCATTACTGCACTTTTCCGCTCCTATAAATATATACAACATACCGCACCGTATCCCTCACCTGGCCTCCTCACCAACCTGATCGGTTTCAGCCAGTCATGTAGTTTAGCCGAGGGAGTCCAGAGTCCAGTCATCGCACAATGCGTAGCCAGCGACTTGCGGTCCTGAGCCGCGACTCACCGGCTGTATTCGCAACGGGCGTGGATGTAACCACGATTTGGGCCCTGCGATGGCGGGCCAGAATGTCAAGGAAACAGCCTGAGCATCACTAGCATCGTGAAATGAAAAATCGCGAAACGTGTGTATTTTTGGACGACAGTTTGGGAGAGCGACAGAGGGCTATGTTGACAAAGCCGGTGTATGTGCCCATCCCGTCTCTCCACCCAGTGGGTATATTTATGTACATGGATTCCATTCACGCTCAGTTGTGCTTCTCTCGCCTTCCCAAATGTGTAGCTTTGGATTGTAAGGAATGAATGGAGCGGACAGATTGGGCTCTGGTGCAGGTTATGTAATCTCGGGGCGATGCGAGCATGTAATGGCTCCGACAGGCCGGAATGGCATTTGTCCAGGAAGGGAATTTGACGGGGCGATCGAATATTACCCAATTGACCGCAGAAGGAACGCAGGATTGACAGCAAAAACCGGCATTCTTTATCGAATTCAATAGCTAATTTTTTTAATCTGTTGTAGGTCAGCGAACCGATGTCGACGTTGCTTTAAATTCGTTGATCTAAAACATAAGCAGGTGGTCTGTTCGCGTTAACCCTTGCAAAATGCGTTTATCATGATGTGTCAAGCTTTCAAAGGGAGTGCTCCACATTTATATGGGGTTTTGAGCTGAAATAACAGTTCTGAAGGTCTTCCGGTGCTGTTCATAATCCTGCTTTTTCAAGCTCTGAGCCCCCTCTAGCTTCTGAGCTACATGCCCGCGAAAATGTGGAAATATTCGGGCAGAATTTTTGAAGGTCACCTTGGTACTGATGGCATCACAATCACCTCATTTAAATGCTGCCAATCCATAAGCCAATCGGTGATCAAGACGAAGAAAAAAGATAATTGTCGAGGTGTTTATATCCTGGATGTCGTGAGCACGATGTCCAGATATAACAGTCATCAATTAACTCTCAATCAATGTTGTGCAAGGCGCGATGACATAATCAAACCATGACTGCATTGGGGAGCATATTTACTAAACAAAGAATTGTGCTGTCTAGAACAGTTTTCCTCTTCAAAAGGATGCCAGTAGTTCTGTGAGCTTGTTTCATCATTATCAAGCATCATTTTGATGCTTGCTTCAATATATTCAAATGTGAAACATTCCCTTTAAGCAGACACACATCCGAGCAGTTCAGTTCAGCAGGCAATTCATGTGATCGCAGCAGGTTCCGTCGCATGCCACCATCATGTAAATTCGACTTCGATAGCATATCGTGGCGTAGTGTCCGGTACTCAGTGCTAAAAAACAAAGCCACCAAACAAGCCTGCAAAGTACGATAAATGGGGCATCCTGTTCAGCCCTTGTAAAACTAATCACGTGCGTCCATCACGTGCATCAACACACAAACACACTTGAGATGCCTGTGATTCCTAGTTAACGGCACGTTTGGCCCGACAAATTGCGGTCTACGGTAAAGGAATGGAATAATGACGTTCTCGTGGCGGGACTTAGGTTAGTAAGTCATCAGTAGATCAAATGCAGAGATTTAGATGTGACATGTGCAGCAGGCATTTCATGTTTTGCATACATAGTTACATAACAGATATAGCAGACAGTCTAACAGAGCTAATGGGGGAGGTATGAAAAGGGAGACTTGAAGTGTAACCTTTCTCGAAATAAGATTAAACAGAGAAGAGCAAAAAAAAACACGTTAGACTAGTCATTCCCCATATGTCGTCCGCCCTGCCCCGCCCGCTCGCCGGCCGCCGTGCCTCTCCGGCCGCCCGCCGTCCGCCGCTGTCTGCGCCGGTCCTTCCGCAGCTCACCTGTCGGCAAGTCCGGGCCCATGTCGCCACTTCCGCCGGTCACCCCCCTCCACCTCTGAGGGCGGGAGCAGGCTCGGCCTGGCCCTGTGCCGGTTATGTGCCGCGACGGCGCCCGGCGGCCGTCCCGGGGCCGGTCCGGCGCCGCATCTGGCCGGCAGACCGCCGCCGAAGGGGGCAGCTGGACGCCGTCGCACCGGGGGGCGGGGAGCGGCATCAGCGCCGAGGAGCTGGACACTGAACAATTCTACTCAGCGCTGCACTTATGTGTATGCGTTTCCACCGTATTTGCATCCAGGGGGAGGGCATGGTAACAAAGCTTGGGACTTGAGCGCCCAGTTGGGCGGTTCCGATGCACAAGATTATGAATATGATTCGAGGTAGCAGCAACCACGAGAACAGTGCCTCTTAGCGATGTATGCGGAAAAGCATCGTGCGTGAACCTCGGCTAAGCCTATCTGCAAGTTCTGGGCCGCAATAAATGGGATAATAGAATCGGACTCGACCTGCACTTTTCTGTTCCCTGTGGCTCGGCTGGCCCCCATCTTTGCGACTCGGAATCTGACTTTGTTATCATTACATCGATCATGATTAACTCCTCTGTAGTGCAGTCCAACACATGTCCGTTTTGCAATCGCGGTGGGTTCTGATTTAATGTAGACACATTGGGTAAGCTTGCATGCCTTGAATAGCTATGCCGCAATTCCTGGTGAGTGGTGGCAAGAGGTCAGAGAAACGTCTCCTAAGTTCAAGTGGCTGCAATCTAGCTTGCCCCAGCTGTGTGCTCCAGTCTGCTCGGTGACTGTGACCTGACCTGTGGGCTACAGTCTGCAGGGTGACTGTGACCTGACCAGTTCGCAGGGTAACCGTGACCTGACCTGTGTGCCCCAGTCTGCAGAGCTGACAGACGCCTGGCCGCCCTGCCCCAGATGCGCCGCACATCTCGGTGGAGCAGGCCGTCGTCCGTACGGCGCGCGGCCTCACGGCAGAGCTGGCCTGCAAGGTGTTCGCCAACCGCGTGCTGAGGTGAGAAGGTGCGGTCTGCGCAGCTCTGGGCCGGTGAGCCTGCCCGGTCGTCAGCACTGAGGTGAGAGGGTGCGCTCTTCGCAGCTCTGTGGCCGGTGAGCCTGCCCGTCGTCGGCGCTGAGGTGAGAGGTGCGGTCTTCGCAACTCTGTGGCCGGTGAGCCTGCCCGGTCGTCAGCGCTGAGGTGGGAGGTGCGGTCTTCGCAGCTCTGTGGCCGGTGAGCCTGCCCGGTCGTCGGCGCTGAGGTGCGCTCTTCGCAACTCTGTGGCCGGTGAGCCTGCCCGGTCGCCAGCGCTGGGTGAGAGGTGCGGTCTTCGCAGCTCTGTGGCCGGTGAGCCTGCCCGGTCGTCGGCGCTGAGGTGAGAGGTGCGGTCTTCGCAGCTCTGTGGCCGGTGAGCCTGCCCGGCCGCCAGCGCTGGCCCTCACTGGCCCTGCCCTCGCCGACGGTATCAACGATAAGGTTGTAATAAGGAGTACTGCACAACACAGCAAAGCTGTACACACACTCCAATACGTACATTGACGACACCGCACCTGTTGCTCTATAGGTTGAATGTTCACTCCCTGTGGCGTTTTGGTATCAGTGTTTCTATATGCTCACCAGACAACCTGGCAAAAGAACGGCCTGGACCTTCCCGTCAGTTCGAGGTACGAGACGACAGTCTCGCGCCGCTTCT